ACTAATAATTATATCCTACTAGCTTTCGCCCGCGATTCCGTCTGCGTGGTATTAAAAAAATTGTACCCTATGTGTTCTTCCAGACTATCTATACCAAATTTCATTGTAATCCATTCAGCAGTTTAGGCCACAAACTGTAAAAACATCCATCCATCCATAAACTTTCGCATTTATAATATTAGTAAGATTAGATATATCCATCCGCGTGGAATTACAAAAAAAAAAGTAGCCTATGTTTTCCAGACTATCTTGTACATCTATGAATATCATTTAGAATACAAACTATAACAAACATCCATACATCCATTCATCTAAACTTTCACATTTATATTATATCTTATGTCAGTCAGTAAATGTACTATCGCGGAAATCCGCGGTGTCATACTTTAATATTGCCTTCTTTCTTGCATCGACACTACGCCTTTTCTTAAATATAACCAACTAGCTTTTGCTCGCGACTTCGCCCGCGTAGTAGAAAACATACAAACTATAAAAATAACAAAAAGCTACGTATCCCGGGAACCGGACATTTCTCGGGATTGAAGCTTGTCCCATGTTTACTCCAGACTTTGTTTTATATCTGTGACAAATTTAATGTAGCTCCGTTCAGCCGTTTAGGCTACAAACGCTAACAAACATCCATCTAAACTTTCGCATTTATAATATTTATATGATCAACAGACAGACGTACAAGAAAAACCTCAGAAGAATGATGATGGGAATGACGGCTGCAAGATTACTTGAAAAAATATATTTTTTCTCGCTAAAAGTGCCTTCTGTATTAATAAATTTTTGAGTTTCTGTTTTTTATTTATGTCTAAAATGACCAAAGAAATTTGACCTTTGCCACAATATTTTAAAAGTTACTTTTCGCCTATTAGTCGAAATTTGCGATTTTTTAAATAAAAATATCTTTATAAACTGTTATTTTTTTAAAAAAAGTGCAAAGGTTTTGTCTGATATATTAATTTATAGATTAAGCAAAATATAGATAAATGCACACTAAGGTATACACTTAGTGTCTATTTAACGATACAAAACAAGGCGGTAACTCAAGGTCAAAATGATTTGACCTTAATATAATGCTTGGTACACATTACGCAAGTACAGTTAGGAGCGCTTATATAACGCGTGTTGGACTCTAACTGGTGACAGTCAGCCAGTATTAACCGTGCCAGTCCAACTGAACTGTCTTACTTTCCTGCATAGTTGTGAAACTTGCATAAATGTATCTTTTGTTTCTATGCGATTAAACTAAAAAATTTTTAGAAAAATACGAATTTAAACGATTTTTTTTAATAATTCTGCTTTGTTGTAAACGTTACTTTAGAAATCCGTTTTATTTTACGACTTTGTTAGCTGTGACGTCACAATATGGCGTCGGTTTTTGAAATGTAATTCACAGTACAGTTTATTTAATTTGCAATTATTATGTTCTAGGATGTTAGAATTTGAAATTTTTTGTTTTGATTGTTATTTGTTGTATGTTAAAGATTTTTTTCTTATGTGATTTATTACTGGAAGCCATCTTGGATTTGGATGTATCGGATTTTTAATTAATTTTTGTGACATTTGGTTGTGATTTAGAAGATTTTTAGTTTTTATTTTGTTCGTTATTATTTTATAATATTGATGCATAATGCGAAAAAGCTTCGTGTTTCTTAGACATTTCAGAAATATTGTTCTTTTAAGATATAAGCTTTTGTAACAATATTACAAAGTAACGTTCTGTATTATTTTAAATTAATAAATAAAAGTACATTCCGACTTATTGTAAATATTTTTCACATTTAAAATGCAATTCACTTTATTAACAACAATGCAAGCAAAAAAATGTTAATCCTAAGATTTTAAAAAACTTGTTTACTTTAATTCTAACCTAAAAATGTTTACGAATTTAGAAAGAGAAAGAATTATTTTGTTTTAAGAATGAATGAGACAGTTATAATAATTTCGCGCCCTTTTTGCTGTCACATGAGAAATGCAAAATAATTTATGAAAATGTAATTTGTTATTATTGAAATTCAATTCGTACAATAAAGATTTTTTTATAATTCTTTCTTAAAGTTGTTTTATTTATGCCTATTTAACTATTCAAAGTCCACAGAGATGCCCATACGTGAAATAACTAAATTGTTTATTAAGAGAAAAATAGGGATTTTGCATTTGATTTATTACAAAAACTTATTGGATAGGCTATAAGCTATGGTATTTGTGCCTATTTGGATTCCGCCATTTTGGCGCTGCTTGTAGCGGTGTTGGAAATTGGAACCAATATGGTAACTTTACGGGAGGTGGAATAAAGCAAAAGCTGTCATTTCAAGCAAAAACTATGAATAATGTAGCTATATTTCTTTTCTATATTTCTAGAATTTTATCATCTGTTATGTGTTATTTATCAACAAGTCAGTTTGTCAAATTATGATTATTTTGATATAAATAAAATCTCTAGTATTACTAATCTTTATTTAACGAAGAAAACTAACAAGAAAATAATATAACAAGATGTTACATCAAGTTTAAATATATTTGTAAGTATGTTTTGAATTATTAAACTATGAACTTCACAGACGTCCAGAAGTATTTCTCCCTTCGTTGTTGACTTAATCTTTATGCAATTCTATATATTAGTTTCTAACCGATATAAGGATTACAAAAATATATACCGGTTTTAGAGCTATTAGGGCTTGAGCGAGGATTTTACGGTGCCCCCTATTTTAGTACTTGGGTGTAAACATCCCTTGCAGTCCCCAACCACCTAACCTAAAACAGACCCTGACAAAAATAAACCGGTTTTTGAAGCAAATATAAATGTTTTAGAAACGTTGGATTTTCTAAATATTTTATAAACTTTTATTTACTTCCAGAAACATTTTGGCCATAAGAAATTCATGTTGTAAAAATGGATCAGTCCAGGCCACCATTACAAGAACAAGGTACTCCTAAGGTATATTTTTTAAAGCTTTTTAAACAGATTTTTAAATGCCTGTTTTGTCTCGATATTTTTTTTTGCCAAATAATAGGTTTACGAACGATTTTTTTATTTCTATTCTTAAATAGATCCTTTTTTTATTTTATCTGAAACGTAGTACCAAAATAATTTAATCGCCATAAAAAAGTACATATTTGAACACTATTATTTTTAGATCGAATAAAATTGGACCAACAAAATATTACGAATAAACAAAAATGGTTTAAGATCGCGTAATGGATTTCCTTTCACTTACATTAAAATAATTCGATTTTTTTTTCACATTTAGGGCAAGGTTCGGTCTGTTTCGATTAAAAAAAATTACCACATCAATTTATCGTGTACAGGGATTTTTTAATCTATAGATCATAGACGTAATAAAATTGTCTATGGTATAGATTAAGATATTGTCTATGTCCAGGGCATGGAGAGCCGCGTGACGTATGTGCTCAGTCACTGCACTAGTGGTGACGTCAGACGTAAGCGTGTCTCTTTCCAGCGCGCGCTCCTTGTCGCCGTCTATCTCATATTGTTTGTGTTGATCGCCATATTTATTCTTGAATTGTTGGATTATATTCATTGAGATGATTCTGGCATTTTATTTCGTAGTTGAATAATGAAATTTCATATGATTTGTTATAATAATCATGTTTTATCAGACTAGCTTTTCCCGTGCGGCTTCATTCGCATGGAATTATAAAATAATTGTTGTTGCTTGTGTCTTCACCCGCGTGAAATAAACATGTAACTCAAAGATAAGTTACCTTTCTAATGGTGGAAATTTTTTTAAAATCGGTCCAGTAGTTTTTACGTGAATCGTATACATAGAAAAATCCAAAAATACAAATTTTTCCTCTTTAAATAATTAGTGCAGATTTTTTTTCACATGAAGGTTTTTTCCTATTTATTTACCCCCCAAGTTTATTAACGTGAAAATATATAACCTAAAGCATGTCGTTAGTGTAGGGATTTTTACTAAAGAAAAAAATATTCAAAAATATACTGTGATTACCGAATTTCTACGGCACAATATAGTATTAATTTTTGGCGCGTTTTATGTAATATGCTAATCACTACTAGATGGCGCTGTTTGGAAATCCCTCCTTGATATCAAAAGATGGCGCTGGTTG